AGATATATTTTTGAAAAAGATTTTGCTTTCTAGCACAAAAATGACACCAATTAGATATGCAGTTTACACACAACAGATTTGCAACTTATCCACCAGAAATTTCTAGAATACCCAACAGCCAACACAGACAGATTTAATTGGGAATAACAAAGTAGCAGTTTGCTAACACAATTAATCACCAACAAATGCAATTTTAAGTAAACACTTCACAATGCTTAACTGACCGTGAGTTAGTTTCTTTAGAAACCAACTTACAGGCAGTTACTTAACAAAAACAGATTTACAGTAACTGTAAATCACTCACAGCTTCAATCAATTCACAGAAAACTCCCACAAAGTAAGCACAACACACTGGTTTGAATAATAAATTGAAATTTTACCCAACTCCTAGCTCCGTAACAATTCTTTGGCTTTTTTTTTTTTTTTTGTAATCCAAAGGACTCCTTATGTTAAAACTTGTTCACTGCACACTCAAAACACAGATTAGTGATGTTTGGATAGATCAATTAAGGACTTGGACAAATTCAGCCTCTATGGTTGAATTTCAATATCAAACTCCTTCGAAACCGATTCTGGTTCTTTTCAAAGAGTTTCACACTTTACTGTGTAAGGGGAAAACCACAAAAAACCAGGTTTTCTTCCTTAACTAAATCAAACACTAATCTAGGGCATGAACCAGGACAGCGAGAACAAGGAGTTCCCGAGATATCGAAGATTTAAAAAATCCAGTGAATAGAAACATGCCCTACAGCTCTGATACCACTTGTTGTGAAAATATATACGAATCGAACACTTGTAATTCACTCACAGACATTCAGCAATTAAACGAACCTAAAGAATTTTTTATTATATCGAAATCAAAGAAGCTCGGACTCAGTTTTACCCAAATATATCAACCGAACCAACGCAAACACTCAACCTCGACCCAAACCACAAACAACATCCACGGAAATGCACAATCACGCTAACCAAACCACAGTCTATGGAAACACTAACATTCTAGATTTAATTTCATCACGGAAAATCAATATACACCGCGAACAACCAAAACAGACCCGAATCAAGAAAGCAAACCGATGGAAAGCCTTAGAACATGTCGAACGTCAAAGCGCACCGTCGAATCTCAAGATTCGCTGGTCAGATCACCGAAAGCAAGCTAGGAAGATCGATCGAAGAGCGCCGTCGTGAGGTTAGGGTTTCTAGAAAGAGACAGATCGCGATGAGAGGAATTAGCTTGAACCCGGTTCATCAGAAGAGCCAATATATATATAAGACTGAAGATCAGATCCAACGGTCCAGATCAACTCCCTCAATCCAACAACTGCCTTCACATCTCAACATAAACAGGTCGGGTAGCGGGTACTGGGTCCGGGTTTCAGATGGGGGGTCGGGTTGGAGTGTTCCGGGCCTCGAATTGTCACAGGCCCAAAATCATCACAACTTGTATTATAAAAAATTTTATTCTCTACAAACTGATATTCATATTGCATATATTTTTTATTGCAATATAATTTTTAAAATATTTAAATATATAGTCTAATTTTTTTAATCATATATTAAATTTATTTTAAAACTATTAATATTATTAATTAAATAAAAATAATAAAATAATATTATAATTCACTATTATTAACTAATTAAATATTATTTTTTAAATACGGTATCATTAATGAAAAGAATCAATTATCTTGGAACGAAGTTATATATATATATAAAGTCCCATAGGTTTGATCCGGTAGAATTTGACCATTGAACGAAGGGTACGAAATCAATCTGATTGATTTTTCGATCAAAGTACTATGTAAAATTACTGTTCTAGTTCGTTTTCTCATTTGTTGTGCGTTTGGATCCGGCTCTACCCATACGTTTCTGGTTCGCCCAACATTCCCCGTTTGTCCGACTATTGCTGAGCAGTTTTTGGATATCAAACGGACCTCCCCAGAAGGTAATTTTATTGTGGCCGATTTCCCCTCTTTTGCAATCAGTTTTGCTACCTCTTATTTTTTATGAAGAGAATGAATCTTTTTCTTGAAGGATCCGAAAAAATTGGTCCAGATCTCCTGCGGGAATGATTTGGAAGATCCAAAACCAAAAACGGTGGTATTTACTAGCAACAACATAATGGAACCGAAAGTGATATTAGAAACCAATCGCCCTCCGGAAAAAAATCTCAATATCGTATTCAATTATGTGGCATAAGGGTTACATCACGTATAAAAGTTAATAGTATACCACTTGCCGAGTTTAATTGAAATTCAATTAAGAGAACGAAGAGTAATTATTTTGTCGGATCCAAAACCAGACCATACAAGGGCGCGTCGAGCCCACGCAAAAATTTGGTTAAGATATGCCAGTAGGGGAAGAGCAAAACAAGGGGGACAACGAGTAGGAGAAATGGAGGTTTGGGCTCTAAAAGGACATACAAAGAAACCCGCCACCAGTCAAATAATTAGTAAATCTTTGAGAGAGATTTCTAGAATCTATTTAAGTAGTTTCTTTCTCTTTCATTTATCCATTTTCGTCATGAGGTACTGCACACAAAAAAAAAAAGGCAAAATCCGATCCAATTTATCGTAATCGATTAGTTAACATGTTGGTTAACCATATTCTGAAACACGGAAAAAAATCATTGGCTCATCGAATTATCTATCGAGCCATGAAAAGAATTCAATAAAAGACAAACAAATCCACTATCTGTTTTACGTCAAACAAATTGAATAGCAGTGTAGGATCAGATCCCAAGGATAGTAAGTCTTTTCTTTCTTAGGAAGGCAAGTCTTTTTAAAAGATTCTATATAAATTTCTATACGAACCCGAGATAGTTGGTGAAATATTAATTGATACAACAAAAATAAAAGCTCCAGATAAAAAAGATTTTGGTTATAATTTTCCGTGATGATTAAAGTGTGGTTTACGGTACATAAAATATTATGCCAAAGAAACTCCTGTATAAGGAGTGAGATATCGTAATGTAGTGGGGGACCAGATCCGAAAAGTCGAGTCTCAGATCAGTCTAGGAAACTCAATGGAATTCATCACTTTTTCAATCGTTTTTTCTTTTTATTGTTTGAATATTCAGGAATTAGGACTGTTATTCTAGATTTCCTTGAGAAATATGCTAACCTACAGAAACTGTTCAAAATTTTTTAAAGAAAGCAGAAGTTTTTAATGAACTTTTGTTTAATCAAATGAGATTCAATTAAAAAAATACCATGGGGGCATCGATTTGTATATTATTTTGTATAGTTTTTCTATGCTTTTTTTTTTTAGTTACTCTCTTTCCGCTATATTCTTTTCTAATATTTCTATTGACAACAATGTAGTGAACAAATATAATTCATCATGATAAGTGAACCGGGTCTATTAATTTTCGTCGCCTAACTTTATCAAAATTTCAAATTTTGTATATTTTTTTTCCTTATTTGAGAATTTCTTGCACTTTCAATCCGCTGGAATTTCATGCTTGACTTGCTTTCAAAGCCTTTCTAGGTTAACTCTTCACTAAGTCCCAACAAGGGCAAGTGAAGATTCGAGCTCGACCACCGGGACTAGGTCAGATTAACAGTTAGTTGAGTCAGCCGTTCAACTCCTATTAGTCTTGTCAATCATTTGCTCTTATTTTTTTCTTCTCTCTTCCCGTTCTCTCCCTAGATGGGTGCAAAATATGTATGCCCAGAGTGTAGATATATACAAGTATGTAACCATTTATACGTATATGTACATTATTATTTATTTATTTATTTGACAACGTGTGAACTCGTTGATGCTACTTGACGAATATGCTCCAATAAATCTTCAGCCGGACCTAATAGGCTACAAACTAGGTCCGACAAAGTATACATCGCATATTGCAAGTTATAAATTAGGCAAGTAATGTAAGTTACACTAAACAAATTCTATATGATAGATAAGACCAGCCACAAATAATTTTAAACTATAGTCTCGCCATTACGAATTTATCCCAAGCTATTGTTGTCGGTGCCAAGTAAAACAATGCAAAGGAAGAAGGGACGAGGGATAGAGGAGAAAGTAAGCGAGGTGAATTGACAGGCAAGATAGTTATAGGCATTCCAATTGACTAATCAATTGGTTAGACACTGGCAATCATAACAAATATATACGCCTTATGCTGCTAAATAATAGGACAAACTTTAAGCAAAATTCGGACATTTGGTGGGAAAATATAGGAAATGAAATCGTATAATTGAATATGTGTTATTAGTTTTATTATATATATGTGCTCCAGATGTCTTGACATATATTATTGTATTATTAACACGAACTATAACTCTTCCTAAGACTAAGATTTTTAACAAAAGTAAAGGAGCTTTGACAAAAGTAAAGGAGCTTGTAGTTTATTGAGTTAAAATATGTTTGGATTTAATTTCAAATCAAAATCAATACTATTTAATAATAACTCCCACAATTCCCAATAAACAATAAACTAATTTTTTTTAATAAAATATTATACTCATTCCATCACAACTATCTCATTCAAATGTATCACTTTCGCATTATAATAAAAGTTACCGTATACTAATACCAAAACTCTTAACTGTTACATAAGTTACAAACATACCCGTTCCACACATAAATACTAAGAGCAAAAATATCAAAATAAGTTTACACTTTCACTAATTAATAAAATACTATTACTTTTCAATTTACTATAAAACCAAAAATGGATACTTTTGTTCGAAACAAGGAGTATCAAAATAATATTTAGACATTCAAAATAGAACTCAAACGCAAAAAGTGATCTACAAAACTGATGAAGGCACACAGATGAACACAAATTTTATTGCCTTTTTTTTCCCTACCATTTTCCACCTTTCGACTTTTACATCCTTGGGCTATATCTTTTCTCTCTTTTTTTGAGGCACATTTGAAAAATGTACGGCCTGATAACTTGTAACCGTCACTCTCCCAAAAGGAAATATTATGTATACATACATATTAGGCCAGAGGAATTTAGATATTATTCAAAATGCATAAATACATACATAATGCAAATTTATTCAAAATACAGAATGATGAATAGCATTCAACAAACTTTAATACTTCTCCTCACAGCATAAAATATTACAACAGAAGTGACTTACGAACTATTACTCATTAATAACCATCTCACCAAAAATCTATGGCATTACATTTCTATGTCTTCCAGATCGGGTAAAGGAAAGCGAAGAATCGCAGCAATTCCAGTTAGCTGTGTGAGTTCTGCAACTCATCCGCAAAAGTGACAAAAAAAAAGACTCAGCTGGCGAAGCTATTTTAGCATTTAATGATTTCTTGAATTGAGGTTATAATATAAAGATCTTCCATGAGCATAAATAAGGAAAAGATTTGAATTCTTACGCTCTCCCGAAGTGTGCATGGATGAGAAGATGTGGACAGTGCCACCTGAAGCCTTTACTGAATCGACTAAATTGACGTACTTTTGCCTAGTTGCTATGTCGGCGCTCCTAGTAAACAAAACAAGTTGTTCATGCTCAATGGTTTGCAGAGATAATTATAATCTGATTCGATCTTATTTAAGCCCAGTCACAGACAACACCCCGAATTTAAATGGCAATCTACATGACTTGGATGAAGGTTTGTGAGAATTTAGGGGAGAATTTCAGTTCGTTCAAGCTAGCATTTTCAGTAAATGTATTTTTAATATTTTCTAAACATATACAATGTATACAAGATACTCCCTTATCTTATAAATATGTACTCACTTTATTATTTTAGTCTATCTACTAAAAATGTGTCCATACCATATTTAGTAAAAAAGTACGATCCTTCTTTAAATCTATACTGACTATTTACACAAATACCATTGATGGACTCCACATATTTCTTAAACTTAATCCAAAAATTACATTACTAACTCTGTAAATTTTCAATTCTATCCTTACCAAAAAAGAAAAACACAAATAATATAAAAATAAGATTTTTTGTTTTTTTAATCTATGCAAGTTTTGAACACAATTTTTATAAGAGGGGGGGGGGGGGGGGGGGGGGGGTGGGGGAGGGGGGATGTGTATAATTTGAACACTATTGCCTAAAGTAATCAAGATTTGGTATCATGGTTTGAGCTCCAGCCAATTTTGTTATGCAAATCAAGCAACTTGACATAATAACTCAAGCTTGAGTCGAGTGTTTTCCAAGAACAACTTTATAATCAGCCCAAGTGAGAATTCATAACAGTATCTTGGCAATAGCTTTTCCGACCTGTCAACATCATCTTAAAACCCTATCTTGAATCATGGATTAATTAACATGTTTCTACAAAGCAATTACAGGGAACCTCAATACCAGAAAGAGTTGCCAACTTGCTATAAATTATGATAAATGGATGTCACCTTTAGAGAAAAATGGAATTGCTTTTAGAAAAATCAGAAGCACATAGTCTAGCATTTCTAGTGCAGAGGTTTTAAGACGCATGGAAGTCTATGGATCCACTAACCTGAAGAGTTCATCGGTTATGAGAAGTGTCTGAACAGCCATCCGCTCATGTGCAACTTCAACATGCTTTGGTCCATAGCATGCTCGCGTTGGATCCTTGAACAAATAATAGTTATTTAAATGAAATCGTTTCGATCAAGACAGCTACTAGAATTTGTAAAACAAAAGGCCATGGGGTTCTAAACAAAATGTTGAGTAAGGGAAGAACCCAACATTGGAAAGCATGGCAAAGAAATCCTTGAGCACTCGGACCTGCATTACAAGTATATTTTAGACCAACATACACATGAACAGTAGAATGTAAATGTGCCATAATAAATACAATTCGATTCAAGATATTATTTGATGGTTGAAAATGTAGACTGCATCTATTTATTACCTCCTGTGCAGCTTTTGTATCTTTTATCATATTCATAACATTTGGAGCATCCAAAACCTCTCTCAAACTATGCCTATGACAGTTTTACAAGGTAAAATAAAATTACTCACACAATAATAATAATAAGAAGAATAATCCATGCAGCAACTTCTACAATTTCTCAAATTAAACATAGTATCGTAGACAAGCCTAGTAGGGAACATGAAATGCAATCTCCACTTAAATAAATAAATAAATGAAACTCAAGCTACATAGTGAGAGATAAAAATAGTCTCTAGTTAAACAGAAGAGGATCCTAATTTAAGTTTGTTCATCATAAATATACAGTCGAATATTAGGCACAGATAAGAACAGAAAACAAAATTTGTGTGGGGGGGAGGGGGATGAGTACGTACTTAATTGTTTCAACATTTACATTGACAGGATCTAGAAGAAGACAATGCAAGTAATTCAAATAAATTAAACAGCAAAGTTCAGCACTTCATTTACTAAACACGCCAAAGTTATTACATAAGTTTTAGAAATAGAACAGAATGATGTAGTGGAAAAGAGACGGAGATGTTACTTGTATCCTGAAGTAGTATGTACAAGAATTATTCGGGACTTATTCTCAATGATAGGTCTCAATTGTTTTCTTTCAGCTTCCAACAGTAAATGCTGATGAAATTGGTCCTGAACAGTATGACAGATATCTTACAGAAGCTATAAAAGCTAATATGAACATTCCTAATTTACCAATATAATATATAAGGAGCAAGCCCCTAAGTAAGATTATCAAAACTGGATAAAGTATGGGACCTTAGTAAATCCAGGACTTGCAATCACAGCACAGCGAACAACCTTGAAATCAATGTGTTTAATGAAGGCCTGCAACAAATCTCAAAAGTATGTAAACTTTTGAGTTATGGATATAATTATAAACAAGTAAAGAAACCAGATTGAGCAGAGTTCACCTGCAAGACACTGTCAAAAAACTTATGCATGGCCTATAAAAGCAAGCAAGTCATTAAGAACATCAATTGGACAATCCTAAAAAGCATCATCAATAAGTCTACAAGACATATAAAGGAGGTAAATTTTACCTTATCATAACCAGCAACAGCAGGTCCATGCTTACGAGGTATAGAAGTTTCTATACGAGAGCGAGTAGTTGTCATACTGTTGAGAGATAACACCATTTAAAATATGAATTTTTGAGGAAAAATGTATCAAAATAAACCTTATTGTGTGTTCGTTTGCACTTTCAATCTTGTTTTTGCATTTAAAAAAAAAAAAACAAAAACGATAAGTACATCTCATTCGGCACCTAGTTTTTTCATTGAAAAAATACCGTATCAAAAAACTTTTTTCCATTCAAAATATTATATTCAAACCTGGTTTCCACTGAAAACATCACATTCAACAACTATTTTTATTTCAAACATACATTCCATTCAAAAGTTTTTAACTCCAAAACACACACAAACCATTATGTTTTCAATAGTCTGTGTCCTCTACATATTAAATTATGACATTTATCTACCGAAAATCTCAGTTTTTTATTTTTTGGTTTTGGAAAAAAGAACTCTCAAACTTAAAATACAAAGGGAACATTTAATAGTGGAATACTAATCTAAGTCATAGCAGAAAGGATCAAATATCATGATTAACTAAATCAAATTCAATTACGATGGTGGCACCATGCAAAATGTAAAATGAAAAAGAACACAAGTCATCACTCAACACGCTTCAGACCTACAGAAAAATATACTAGAAATTTCCAGAATATGAGAGCAAACAAAAAGAACAAGAAAATGGAAGTTCAAAGGGCGTATCAAGCTACAAATTAATCTAATGAATTTCCTACAGTGAAAATCCTTAGAGTGCTCAAAGAAGATGAAATGAAGACTAGATTGAAAACATGGGAGGGGGTGGTTAAGTCAATGTCAAAACAGCACCTTTTACCAACAAGAAAAATATGAGCCATGCCTTCTTGCATCAGAACAACAGCCAGATCTGCACTCACTTTAGGATCTATAAAGAAGTTACAATTAGCAAAACTTCATTCATGGTTTCATTCCTATAAACCATCATACTTATAGCAATTAAAACGATAGAGCAATTAATGGATTGAACAGCTTGGCATTCCAGTTTCACAGGATCTCGGAAGAGGCTATACCCGCCAACTTAAAAAATAAAAAATAAAAATCTATTAATGTACATGAAATGTTTATTATTTAGTTGAATCAAACCTTGCTTAGATCCTAAAGGAACCATAAATATCATGCCTTACTAACAATTGGAACTTTTTCATAATCTAGTGGGAGGTTCAAATATTCTATTTCATTTTTAATGCATTTGAAATACTTACATAATGCTAGCATGATGTTAAAAGATGATTAAAACTGCTAAACCATGATGTTTCAAGTTCATGCCTTTGTATATCTCATTTTCTCTGCTTCCAAATGGATAGCATGCTAGTTTATTTCAAGTTCATTGCTTTGTATATTTCCTTTTCTCTGCTTCCACATGGATAACATGCTTGTTTATTATGTTTTTATACTTTTTGGCTGGGTAAAGGCAGTTGAGTTAACTACAAATAGTCATAGTTCTCAATAGCACGTAAGGGCAAGCTAATAGCACCATACTACAGTGTAATCTATAGATATGCCAAATCTTGTAGACACACATTAACAAGAACATACTCTTCACTTTTTTATGGTATTGAGAGAAGGCAGTATCATATAGTATATAGACCTCATGGACACACATTAGCAAGAATACAATCTTCACATAGATGCTTTACAGTGATCAAACCATCATAAAGTACAAAAATAGACATCATTCTCATAAATTTGCCAAAAATAAGAAAATAGCAGCATGTATTACATGGTAACAAAAGTTTGCAAATTAAAATTCAAATCATAAAAATGACGAGCAAAAAGTGAGTATAAGATTCATGTTTGTCCAGAACCCTTACCAGATGCTTGATGAAGCATATCCAATGCCAATGAATCCCACACATCCTAAGACAGACAAGAACAATTATATAATCCTGCATTACAGTCTTACTTGATACATGTATAAGATATGTGAAGTGCAAAATGTAATGACAATGAAGCATTGATACAACCATGATACATTTTGAGAGCAACATTCTAACAGACCATATCTATGTAGAGGTCCCTAGAGTTCAACATTCCACCTCTTTAAACCCCAACCCCAGAAATATTGTACAGTTACATGGGAGTCTGTAAAATTATTATGAACCGAAGGACCCTCTGTTGTTAAATGAACGCATCACCTAAGATTTCCTATACATCCAGAACTTTCCAACCCGATTCCAATGATGGTGGAAATGAAAATAATAACCAAGAACTTAGAATTGGGACAAAAGGACCAAGTGTTGGGGAGGACCCAATGTGACTAGAAAATGCATATTAGTGACAGGCTTGATTTGTTGGGTCTACTATACTCGAATAAAAAATGCTTGATAGAGATTACCAGAAGCAAACCATAATAATTACAGAGGCATGGATGATAGCTTGAAAATGGCAGACATAAATAGAATAAAAGTAGCAGCGAACAATGCTAAGATTAAAGGATTACCTTCATCAATACAAAAGGACGATGGAGATCAATCTCCAGGGTGTGAAATGCCCCTATCTGCAGGAACCACAGCAAAGCTTTGATTGGGGAACAAAGGATAGACTGTAACTCTGAATAGAAAAGCTCAAAAGACCTACCTTCACGTATTCATTCTCTAGAATATTCTTACCCCGTATGCGTAAAACAGATCCTTCCTTGTCATACTCAATAGCCTGACAAATGAAGGAAGCTGTTATATATCTTTACCCTCCCTCCCATTTAAATTTGAAACTGAGGTCTACTTAAGAGAAAATCATTAAATTGATTTGGAACCGCAAACAGTACAAACATTATCTCTAGCATATTGAGAACTTATAGCGTTCTACCATAAAGCTCTTTTATCACTTCACTGTTAGACATGATATTCAGAGCTTCAAAAGAAAACTAAAAACAAATAAAAACTCAAACATGGAATCCATCAGCCCAATCTCTTACTTAATAAACATAGAATATTATTAATTAATTCGATTAAAAAGTATGTGCATTGATTGGTGAGACTCATTGTTAAGCTTCCAAAGAAAGCTTTGGATGACAATGCAGTAGAGTGTTGCTAGTGGTTGGAATTAGAGAGGACAACCTATTGATGACAATTAGTCTGCAGAAATAGATTTGCTTGCTTCTAACAGACAAATTAGTTGCAACATCAGCTACAAAATACAAGGTAAAGAAGAGAATCAGTAAGTTACCTAGAGGTTGGTTCAATAAATTCAAATTTTAATGCAAAAAGCTTGAAAGAATGCCTCAGAAACAATCTCCTGACCATTTAGAAACCGGGGGTGGGTCAACCAAATGTGAAGTAGAAAATGTAACATTAACTAAAATAGTAAAAAAAAACATTTTCAAATACATTTAACTCTAACAGCATGAGGATCATTCTGTACTACTGCTGCAGCCAATGAAATCTATCAACACAACATCGACGAAAGAGCAGAATATCATGCATGCTCCTATCTAATGGTTACCTCAACTTTGATCTCTAATTTTAGCTTTACTCTTTCGGCATCTCTTCCTCCTGAAGCTGCTTCTCTCAAAACCTTCCTGCAGATACATTGAGATGTATTTAAAAATTCAATAAAGCAAACAACATAGCCAGAACTTCGTAAGAAAAAAACAAAAAAAAAACCCTCAACAAACTAGTTGATTCTGTTCTAAAGGTAGTTAATTCTGATGCTATAACGTTCTACAATAATAGGCAGAGTTTGATCCCTGGAAAAAAAAAAAAAACAAGATTCGGCTCTAGCATGATATAAGAAACAAAAGATTGGATACACCTATTTAGAGTAATCACAAAAGTTCTGAGTTAATTTTAAGAATAAATTTAAAAACATTAATGGGAAAAAAAAAATCGACACTAGTAACAAATAAATCTCAAACTAAGAGGGCAATATATTTCAAGCATACCGTAAGGCATCCAACTTAACAATGGATGCAAGAAAAATAATTATCATCTAACCTGACTGTAGCAGCAACAACAGTATCTCCCGCGGCAATCAAATTGTAAGCAAGCCACAAATCATCTGATTCTTCCGGGACCATCTGCAGCAAAAACCGAAAGCAGAACCCTAGAAAGCCTTAGAAAAAATAAAACTTACAACAAAATTGTATGCGGGATATCAATCATTGATCAGGAATTGGTGCTAGAACAAACCTTAACACTTCCAGGGCCATCAAGCACCAAGTTTTTCCTAAAGATCTTCATGGTATTCGCACTTCCTTTAAAGAATACTCACATTAGCATAGAACTATACCGATATCATTGATTGAATGGCTGATAGAATTGGAGGCGAATTAGGATTGTTGTATTGGGGTAGATAATTCCATTATTATTGGGGAAGGATTGGAATCCAATTCCTACAATATCATCTGTAAATAATTTTAGACTTGCTCAATCGGTTACGAACCGGCCGGACCACCGGTTCTGGCTTGAACGGAACCTCATCGAAACCGTTTATTCCAAATCGTGAACCGCCGGTTCGGCACGGATATTTAAAAAATATATAATAATTATAGTATAATAAAAATAAGTATAAATTAAAATTAAAATAAATTATTAGTATAATTAAAATTAAAAAAATTATAAATTAAATTTTTAAAAATAAAATTAAAGTGTATAATTGTTTTTTAAAAAAGAAAGTAATAAAACAAGATGAACCGATGAAAAAGGAAAGATAGAGATGAGAAATGAAACGGAGGGGAGTATATAAGAGGAAGCTACCTTGGGCGAGCAGGCGAGCAAGACGGCAAAGAAGACAGAGGAAGGGGAAGAATGAGGAGGAAGTTTACCTTATGTAGGGAAAATTGGTGTGACGGCGGTGGAAGTTTACTTGCAGTGGTGGACACTTTGATAAAGTGTCCTTACAGTATAAAATATTAGAGTTAGTCAAAATAAGTGAGTCCCGTCGGATTGATCCGTCTCATTTTATTTTTAAAGAGGATTGGTTCTGATTTTTTAAGCCCGTTAAAATGCGGGCAATTCGCATGGGCCGTGGGTTTTGAGGATGGGTTAGCCCGCAGTGGAGCGGGTTAGCCTGCGGGTCAAGTAAATATAATAATTAATATCCATTCGTCTAACTAAATATATTTTTTTACCATTTTTTACTGTCTTATTAAAAAATTATAATGAAACTAATCAAATATTAATATAAAAATATATTTTAATTTTTTATAAATTACAAATATATCATTATAAATAAGTTAAGATGAATACAATAAAATTAATATTATCATTCTACACTTTATTTTTCTTTTCTAATTATGTTATTCATGACATTGTTATTTGTTGTGATTTTTCAATCATTTGTTTTGTTCGTCTTCCATTTTATTATTTTCTAATTTTACAAATTCATAAAATTAATTATGATTTATTTTTAAAATGAAGTATTTTTTATTATTAATTTTTTTAAATACACCAATTAATAATATTTAGAAGTGAGAAATTTTATATTTATTATTTAAATTCTACGATAAAACTATTTTTAACTATTTTTAAATATTAATTACGAAAATATTTATAATATTAACATTCTTTTAATATTTTTAAAAAGCCCGTGGGCTAGCCCGCTTAGGTCGCTATCCGCCGGTGAGTTGGGTTGAACTAATGAAATTTTGATCCGCCCCGCCGCGGGTTGACCCGCAAACAACCGCTTATTTGCGGATTATGGTGGATTGCGGGCCAATCCGCCCCGCTACCCCAGGTCTATAAAATATATAAATTACAATTTTCATTAAAAATGTTTAATTACATTATTATTTGTAGTGAAAATTGAAGAAAAAATATATTTAGGTTACAAAGTTGGGATCAAAATGAAAAAAATTGAAGAAATTATTGAATCTAAATTTATTTATTTATTTTTTTTATTATCATATAAATTTATTCTCATTTTATTGGTAGTAAAAAGTACTATTTTTTTTATATTTTCTTTACCATTTTATTTATTTCTTTTAAAACTACGGTCAAATGAACATCCATTTGGATGATAAATAGAATAATATATATTATATAATTTTTTTAAATTTAAATAAATTCTTAGAGTAATTATATAAATTAATGAGTTTTTCATTTGAATTCTTTGAATAATGGAGGGGATCGTTGGTTAAACTGATTAAACTGGGTAAATTTTAAACCGATGATCCCTTCCCGATCCACCGGTGTTTGTCCTTAGGTATTTGGTGTTTTGGTTGCTTATTGAAACTTGAACTATGGTTAAGTTTGACTTTATTTGGTTATGTTTGCTTTAAGGGTTAAGAATTCACTTCTGGCCTGTTCATGGTATAGATGATAGTAGTATGCTCTCTGTATTCATTCGTGGTTGGGAAACATCAACCAAAAAGGGGAGGGGGAGATTGTTGTTAGTTATTTTTTCGATTGGATTTTGTTTAATGTTTGTAAACTATCTGGAAGTTAGATAGACTTCAAGAAGATTGTTAGGAAGGCCTATTTGATTTCTGATCTAGAAATCATTTTTATCTGCTAAGAGTGGTCCTTGTGTTGGCACGTCTAACAGAAGAGAAATGTGCAACATAAGAGAATCTAAGTTTGTTAAAGCAATCCAAGCAGCGTAGTGTAAGTGGTTGTGGTTAGAGGAATATTCGGATAGTCTTCGTGGGAGAACAGAGAGAGTGATTATTGAACATTGAGAGTGAGAGAGGTTGGAGAATAGATTGAGAGCTTGGAATAATGACGAAATGGTATGATTGATTTCTTGATAGTGTAGCTCGATTATATCCATATATCTTTGTACTTTAATAATTTCGATAATGAATCACGCATGGGTTGGAAACTCCAAGACGTAGGTCATTGATGACCAAACTAGGTTGTCATTTTGTTGTATTTTTGTTATTCTCTGTCACGAGTATGTGCATTCATAGTCTGATCGTTCAATAAATAATAAGTCTATGTTAAGAGATTTTTCTATGTTGATTTTTGGGCCAACAATTGCTATAAGATCAACCTCTTCAAGAATATCATTGAAGAGTGATCCTTGATCATGGCAGCAAAAGGAAGGAACATCCATGAAAAGTCCTTCATTTCTAGATGAAGACAACTTTCAATATTGGAAGATGAAAATGATGTATTTCATTATGTTGAACATCGAAGAAGTTTGGGATTTGATCATCCACGGCTGGACTCCTTCTAAGAGGACCATGATAGTTTATCCAATAGAGAAATGAGATGACAAGGCGCATACCATGGTTGTGGAGAAGCAAAGGATCTAATACACTTTGGAGGAAAAGGTTCGGTGCAATGTCAATTCAAAAGCAATTAATGCTATTATCAGTGGAGTGGATCTCTCATTGGATCTACCTGCATTACTGATAAAGAGGCATGTGATGCATTATTTAAAACCTCGAAGGTGATAAGAAAGTTGAGAAATCTAAACTTCAAATGGTTGAAAGTGAGTTTGATCGATTGCTCATAAGGAAGAATGAAAAAACTCTTGAATACACAAAACAATTTAAGGTTGTGGTGAGCCAGACACATGTGTTGAGTCTGAAATATGATAGAGGAAGCTGGTTTATAAGTTGATGCCAACAGTATCTAATACATTTGCTCTAAAAATCACAATATTGGAGGAATTTGATAATATGGACACATTTTTTTGAATTAGTTGATTGAAGTTTTGAAGACTTATGAGATGAGAGCTTGCCCTCATAAAAAAACAAATGGCTTGAATAATCCAAGATAAAAGGCCAGACAACCAAAACAACAGGGATTTCAAGGTGGCAGTCTGAATACAATTCGAACAAGTGACAAACAATTTGGACATAACACAAAAAAATCTGGTGGCCCTGCTAAGGCTGATGCAACCGAACTGGATTAATAATTATTTTGTATTTTATGTTCTTTTTATCACTAGTGTGTGTACTTTTTTGATCTAAGACCAACAACCAGTTTGTGTTGCGAGAACTTACAGTTTAATTATGGAGCTGAGTTTGTTGCTGTTGTATGTGAGTTAATCGAAATTTGGGGCCAACATTTATATATAAATATATAAACAGAAAAAATGAGTAAATTTCTTTTTCCCGTGCAAGGGTGTAACAGAGGTAGATGGAAAAAACTAGAATAGTAAATGAATATGGTAAAAAGACAACAATGATTGGTTTTGAATTTACGAAGTCAGTAAAGCATTGATAAGGGAAAAATAATAATTGTATTATTCATCTATTCACAATTTTATAAGATCTCTCGTAATATGAAATATCTATACTTGGATTGAAAAATTGAATTTGATTTCAATTATTTATAATGTTGATTTGGATATTATTCTATTTTTAAAAAAATCACTTCAATCGACCATTATTTGTTATGCCAATCCAAAAATATATAGCAACGTACAAAATAAAGTGTATAATTTAAACATGTGTAGTATATATCAACGCATTACTCATATGCCAATCATTAATGAACAACATATTCACTCGCACAAAACTATATATAAGTGTCACACAGTTCTTTCTTTAGTTGATTTTAAAAATTTTAAATAAAATCAAAAGATATTTATTATTCCTTAGAACATATATAATATGTATAGGTTAGCATGCACAATTAAAGAAAAAATTATATGGACTAAAATATTTTCTTCAAACTTATACATATATAACAACAAACCTTATTGTGGTTTTGGGTAGTCGAAAACATATTGAGTTTCATTGGTTAGCATACGAGTCAACATGTAAAAGCATTGATCTTTTTTTGTCAGAGCTATATCCATTGATTATTGGTCATTTTAGAGTATTCTTGCATACGAATATAGGACTGTAAGTAAAGCCGACAAAAATATACATGATTTGAAAATTCAATCCAAATGCGACACGGAAAAACTGAATATAGACTAAAAGATAGGACCAAATAATTTTTGGCCTGTCTTTGCCCCAACCGGTTGAAAAAAACGGTGCCAGATCTGGATCTCTAAAATTTGAGTTATTCTCGGCTTGTCCGAATTGTTAAAATTGAAAAAATATTTTAAATTTAAATTATTTTGAAATATTTATTAATTTTATAATATAATAAAATTTTATGGATCTTTTTGTGTAATTTTGTATGTACAATAGTATTGTTAATTATTTATGTTTTTATTTTCTTGTCGAAGAATTAAGTAAATAATTTTTTTCCCTCAATTTTGTGACTAAAAATATAACAAAAACGTAAAAAAAAAAAAAAGAAGTCATTAAGTATTAATGAAAATATAATTTAGTATAATTGCATTAATTTAGATAAATATAATTTAGTTATTATTATTAAGGAAATATTACAAACTATATGCTTAAGAAATTTTTATTAATAATAATTATTATTATTCGAAGCGCAAGCCGGGCCAATGCAAATCAAACTGAATTTTGTTCGAGCCTAAATTTTCTTATTTAGTTTAAATTGGACCTAGCCTATTTGACAGGTTCCAAAGTTGGTCAAAACAGTTTGACATGATAAAATCAACCCGGCTAGAAATTGCCACTTCAAATTACAAAAAACCTTCATCTTTTGATGAGTATGCCTACCAAAAATCAGCGCATATAATAATCCAAAAAATCCATTCGGGTACCATTGCCACCCATCGTTTCATCTACCGTTGTTATGCCTAACTTTCTCAACTTGGTTGTTTTCTCTCTTTGCATAAATAGCATCACAAAGCCCTGCATATTTGTGTACAATATGTTTGTGAAAGCATTTTCTCATTCCAATAGTCCACATATATCTCTAATTATATATTCATGGATGCACATATGCATGACAATACAATTGTTGTCAATTGCCATATTATAATTTTGTTATCGACAGCCTAAAGGCGGAGGCCAATTAG